AGGGGGAGAGGTGGCCCTGCTGAGGGACCAGTGTCTGCTCTTTCTCCTCACACAAGAACCTCACTCAAAAACCGTCTCGCCAGCGTCCCCCTTTCGCCAGCAGGGGGCGTCGAAGGCCCGTAGCGCGTAGAGAGAAAGACACGGCCTCAGAGTACCCCGCTTCTCCCTCTGGTCTCTAAGATAACGCCCCTAACTCTTCCCAGCCTTTAACTCACTTAAACCCAACATTTTATGGGATGCAGTTGGGGCTGAGACCAAAGTCGCATCCAGTAAGAAGCAGGATCAGAATTCGAACCCAAAGCCAGTTGACTCCAGAGTTCTTGCTTTCGTCCACACCACTGATGTACGGTGCACGGTCCACTTGATGTACAATGTAGAGACTGGAGACGTAGGTTCTAATCCCCTCTCCGTCAGTGTCCAGCCACGTGCTGTCGGGGAGGTCAATTCAGGTCTCTAGATCTCAGTTTCCTCATCTGTGCCATAGGATGATAATGGTTCTTCCCTCAAGGGTAGATGTGAGATTTAAACGCGATAACGTGGGAAAAACGCCTGGCATCGAGTGCACAGTAAACGCCGTTTTGAATGTCTGATCTACCCCTGCCCCCAAGGAAGCACACTGGGGCGAACCTGGTCCCCCGTCCTCCTACCAGGCCCGGCCCCTCCAGGATCTGAACGACTGCGGTAGCCTTGCGGGCCCGGCGGCCCGGGCAGGCGTCAGGCGCGGCGCCGCCCGCTCCCCGCGGTAATTAGCCGGTGTCGGCTTGGGTTCAGCCAGCCGCTAATTACACGTCTCCTAATGAGGCCGGCGGCTGTTTGCAATCACAAGGGTCCCCGCCGCGCGGCGCGGGAGGCCGCAGGGGAATCGTGTGCCGGGGCCGTGCGCGCCCGCCGAACGCCAGGCCGGCGGGGCGGGGTGCTCACCGTCGGTCACCTCGATTCTCTCCCAGGCGTGCCACAGAGCCGTTATTATCCCCATTTTACAGGTGAGTAAAGGGACTGAGGCCCAGAGAGGCGGACTCACGCGCGCACAAAACTCACCAATTATTTGAAAGATCTGGACTGCGTCCTCAATTTTCCCGTCTCTCACTCTTCGCCACCGTTAAGGAGGGTATTGAGGAAGGAAGAGGAGGAGGAGAGGCAGGAAGAGACTAATCGTGGTCTCTGACGCTGAGCCTGTGCTACTAACCCATACAGGTACTGCCTGGATCAGTGGGGTACTCGCTGTTGGCACGTCTGGGACTCTCAGAAGAAGGCCCCAGATCAAATAAATGGGGGAGGAGGGCTTGGGAAACTTCCCCTGAGCACTTCCCTTTCGTCCCATCTGACTGTTCCCACGCCCAATTTGTCATTTGGATCGCACACAAAACCGAATATTAGCTCTGGCAAGTCCTTTAAAACTCGGAAGCATGAACCACACAACCCATTTCGCAGACTAGGAAATCTGGAGCACTGGGTGGTTGGGGTGACTGCTAGAATGCTGCAGTGAGGTGGGCGTGGGAAGCTCCAACTGTTCACCTTGTTCCGGGGCCTTCTGGGCGGGATCCAGGGTAGCTGCCTTTCTTCTTTATCTTCTGAGCTACTATTTAGTAGGCCGCTACGATGCTCCAGGCACTTAACTAAGCATTTTATGTGTTTGTCTTTCTTTAAAAATTTTTTTTTAAATTTTGGTTTTCAATATTTTTTTCTTTTTTTCTTTGTGTTTTACTTCATTTAGTCCTCACAACAGCCCTATGAGGGCACGTGCCATTATTCTCTGAGGCTCAGGCAGGGAAATGACTTGCTCAAGATCACACAGTAACTTCAGTCTACAAAAGACCTTTTGTTTCACCCCAAAACCTGTGCTCTTAACCCCTTAGTCTCTATGTCTTTTGGGATGTCTGGGACTAGAAGGATGTTCAGAGAAGGCAAACTCAATTGGGATGCCATTTTGGGGTGCCTTTGGCATCCAGGGAGTCCCTAACAGAGCCTGGCTGCTGCCATGGCGGATGGTGGCAAAGGAAATTTGTGTTTGCTTCAGCATTCTGTTAAGCAGCTGCTGCTCATTAGGGGCTCCTGCTCCTTTAATCCAATCAACCGATTCCCTGTAAAGCCTTTATGGGGACAATCTGGATAAAATTAAACCCTCCGTCTGCCTGGCCAGGGGCCTGGGGAGCTGCCACATCCTCCAGGTTGCTGGGGCAGATACAGCCTTCCTTGCACCTCAGAGTCAGAACGTAGCTTCTTGCTCCTCCCTCATCTTCACTGCCTTGTAGACCTCTTTCCGTTTCCCTCGCCTGCTGCGAGGATTCACTCATCCAAAAATTAATTGAAATTACAAGGGCACTGCTGTTTGATCCAGTAATTTTTCTGCCAGGTACTTATCCCACAGAGATTCCCACACTTGTGCCAAATGACAGGTGAACAGGATGTGTCTTGCAGCATTGTTAGTGATAGCAAAAGGCAGCTTCACATACCTAGTAAGCAGCAAGGCAGGATTTGGACTAGGCAGTCCATGTTCTTATCTATACAGCTTCTCTGTCTTTATGTGCATGGGAAATTTCTAAAAGAGGATACAAAAGCTGTTGATGGTGGTTACTTCTGGTGAGAGAAGTTAAAGGTGTGAAGTAGGGGGAACTCACTTTTCACTGTGTCCCATTTTGTACCACTTAATTTTTCCATGTACATATGTTAATTTCATAATTTAAAGGCGTACTGGGCCCCAGACCCCAAAGTATGTTGTTAGTAATCCTTGCCTTTATCCTGGAAGTGTGTATTCTTATTATCCCCATTGTACAGATGAGGAAGCTGAGCTCATTCAAGTGGCCTGGCCAGGTCACATGACTATGAATGGCAAACGGTGACTGACTTTCAAGCCAGTGCTCATTCCCCTAATTTATATTAGCCTCCTGGCTTGGAAGTTTCGGAGTGGCAGGGGAAGTGGTTAAAACATGGACTCTGGAGCCAGCTTGCCTGCGTTCAAGTTCTGATTCAGCCACACATTAGCTGTGTGACCTTGGGCAAGTCACTTTCCCTCTCTGAACCTCAATTTCCTCTCTGTGAGGATTAAATGACTTATCTCTATGTCCATTGCTTAGAACAGGGCCTGTTTCATCCATGGCACTCAAATGTTAGATATTTTTTATATAATTGTCCTGAATGTTGACTTCTCCAGTTTCAAGCTCAGAGCAGTTCTTTCTTCTAGTTGATGGGGCCAGGTGTGGCTCCTCCAGTCTCTTCCCCTTGGGACAAGGCCCCGCCATCCTGCGCTCCAGCCTCCAGCAAGAGTCCTTTGGAATCGGTTCTCCTGGGTTATCTCACTGTGGCAGCTGTGATCAGAACTGATCACATCACCAGAGCTGGAAAAAGGGGCAGAGCCGCAGGGCTGGTGTGGCCCAGATCCAGAGTGAGGCTGCGACGGGCGGCCTCCCAGTTCGGGATGTTCCCAGCACCTTCCCACCACTCATGCTTGGAGGGAGAAGGGCCTCAAAATAGCTGTTGCTTCCCCAGCACGGCGCTAGGCCAGGGACAGGAATAGACATCTGGGGGTGGCCGCCTCAGCTTCCCTCAGGGGCCTTGGAGGGGCTGGTAATAGCTAGAGGCCAGACTCCCCGCTAATGTGGGGGAATAGTGCAGCTGTCGATATGCGGTGACCCACCCATGATGATCCAGCTCATGGAAAGTGTTGCCCCAGCTGGTCACCAGCACTGGCCAGATACTTGGCAGGGCCTGGATTTTTAGACCAATAGGAAGTACTTCAACACTGGCTCCTATAATGCTCTCTTGGCAGGTGGGGAAACTGAGACCCAGAGAGAAGATCATATGCTTGAGATCACAAAGCTGGTTAGAAGCCAAGCTGACAGGGGAGGCAGGCCTTGGGGCTCTGAGAGGCAGTATAGGGTGGGGCATAAAGTGTTAAAGGGCTCCCGACTATCTGGGCTCAAATCCAGCCTCAACTACTTATGATCAGTATGCTCTCAGGCCTCAATTTCATTATCTGTAAAATGGGCACTATTATAGTACCCACCTCCTTTAGTTGGTTGTAGAGATGGAATGAGTTAATACTTGAGTGCTATTATGATTCTTGTTTTCTTACCAGACTCCTTACTCGTTTATTCCTAAGGAATTGGCTGAACACCTGCCATATGCCAGGCACAGTGCTAGGCTAGATCAGTGTAGCTCACACAATGTGGCAAGAAGAGACCAGCTGACATTTCAGGGAGCTTGCCATGTGCCAGCTGCTGCGCTAAGCATTTTTACCTGCATATCTCACTTATTCCGCATGACAGCCTATGAGGAGTCATTGTCATGCCCTATTTTACAGATGAGAGGAGTGAGGCTCAAAGAGGTAAAGTCATTCCTTCAGAGTCACACAGCCGGAGGTAGCAGAGCCAGGATTTGAAACCTGAGCTGCCTGCCTATGTAGCTCATACAAGGAACCACTGCATGGCACTGTCATCTTTCTGGGGAGATGGACCTCAGGAGGCTGGACTGAAGGTGGAGATGCTGATGAGGAGGCTGGTGCCTGGAGAGAGAAGAGACTCGGACTGGGGTGCTGGAGGTAGGGGTGCAGAGAAATAGGCAGCTTTGTGAAGTTTTTAGAGGTAGAATTGGTTACATATTGCTATGTAATAAATCGCCCCAAAATTTTGTGGCTTAAAACAACCAATTATGAGTTTTCATGATTCTTTTGGGCGACAGGGCAGTTCTGCTTCATGTAGTGTCAGCTAGAGGCACTGGAATGGCTGGAAGGTTCCCAAGTGGCCTCACGCACATGGCTGGCAGCTGCTGCTGGAAGTTCGGCGGGGGCTGTTGGCTGGGAAGCCTCAGTTTACCTCCCTGTGGCTTCTCAATGGGGCTTGGGCTTCTCACAGCATAGCAACTGGCTTCCAGAAGCAGAAGCTGACATGCTTTTTAAAGCCTGGATTCAGAAGTCTCAGAACATCATCTCTGCTGCATCCTAATGGTCAAAGCCAGTCCCAAGCCCAGTCTGATTTAAGGGGAAGGGTAATATATGCTTCCTCTTTGATGATGATGATGACGACGATGACAATATGTACAATTTAGTTGGCATTTAGTGCATTCAGAATATTGTACAATGAACACTTCTCCCTAATTTCAACCTTTTTACCACTTCATGAGAACACTCCATACCATTATGCCATTGTGCCCCATTCCCCTTCTCCCCAGTCCCTGACAACCTGCTTTCTGTCTCTGTGGCTTTGCCTATTCTGGATAGTTCATGGAAAAGGATTTATACAATATGTGACCTTTTGCGACTGGCTCTTTTCGCTTAGCATAATGTTTTCAAGGTTCATCCAAGTTGTAGCATGTATCAGTACTTCATTTCTTTTTATCGCTGAATAATACTCCATTGTGTGGACATAGCACAATTTGTTCATTCATTCATCTGTTGAAAGACATTTGGGTTGTGTCCATCTTTTGGCTATTGTGAATAGTGCTGCTGCTAACATTGGTAAGTAAGTATCTGTTTGAGTCCTTGTTTTCCATTCTTTTAAGTATACATCTAGGAATAGAATTGCTGGGTTATGTGGTAATTCTGTGTTTAATTTCTTGAGGAACCACCAAACTGCTTTCCACAGTGGCTGTACCATTTGTGCTCCCTCCAGCAATGTACAAGTGTTCCTATTTCTCCACATCCTTGCCAACACTTACTATTTTCTGTTTTTTGTTTGTTTGTTTTTTTAAATAAAGCCATCCTAGTAGATGTGAAGCACTGTACTTTTGACTTACATTTGCTCAACTACCAATGATGTTGAAAATCTTTTCATGTGCCTTTTGGCCATTTGTATATCTTCTTTGCCCATTATTTAGCTGGGTTGTTCGTGTTTCTGTTGTTGAGTTGTTAGAATTCTTTATATATTCTGGATACTAAGTCCGATATATGATTTGCAAATATTTCCTCCCATTCTGTAGGTTGTCTTTTCACTTTCTTGGTAATGTCCTTTGATGTACAAAAGTTTTTACTTTTCACGAGATCTCATTAATCTGTTTTTTCTTTTGTTGCTTCCGCTTTTGGTGTCAAATCTAAGAATCCATTGCCAAATCCAAGATCATAAAGATTTACCCCTATGTTTTCTTCCAATTGTTTTAGCTCTTACATTAAGATCATTGATCTATTGAGTTAATTTTTGTGTATGGAATGAGGTAGGGGTTCAACTTAATTCTTTTGTATGTGGTTAAGCTCTACCTCTTGATTGGAGGTCAGCATGCCTTATAGGGAGGGGAGGAATTGTTTGGGGTCATCTTTGGAGACAGTCTTAATGATGAGTTGACTGTGAGGGGTTAGGAAACGAGGGAGAGAAGAAGGCAGGGTGACATCCACATTTCTGGTTTGAGTCACTGGCAGATGGGGAAGCCTGGGGGAGGAGCAGGATTTTGGTGAAGGGAGGAAGAACTCAATCCTGGGCATATTGAGTTTGAGCTCCCTAAGCATCCAGACACCGAGAGCTCTGGGAATCAAATAAATGGTAAATGAAATATGGAAAGGTACTAAGGTTTCCATTCATTCAACAAATAGTTGTGGAAAACCTAATACTAGTACTAGCTCATATTTTACGTGGTGCTTACCATGGGCCAGGCATTTTGTAATTTTTAAAAATTGAACTATAATATACATGGAGTAAAATGAACGAATCTAGTATATAGTTCATTCATTTTTACGTATACCACCTTCCGGAAATCTCAAGCCCCCAGAAATCTCGCTCTCAGGCATATTATATTTAATTCTCACAGTTACCTAATGAGGTACATATTATTAACCCCATTTTTCAGGTGAGGAAACTGAGGCTTAGAGAGGTGAAGCTACTTGCCCAAGAGCACACAGGAGTAGAATCTGGATTCTAACTAAGGCCTATAGGATTAGCCCGGGCTGAGGAACACCACACCCCCTCACTGGAAGGGGACTGGACTCGGTCCTGGGGGTCCCTGGGAGGATCCTGGGAGCATTTCCTGAGCTTCCTCCTTACCTCTAGTGTCTCTCCTGTACTCCTCTGATCTCTTCTGTCACTCTGCTCCTTGCTCCTTAGCTAAAACTGGCCTCCTTGCTTTTCTTCCAACTTGTCAAGCTTCTATCCACCCTAGGGCTTTTGCACGCAACGTTCCCTCCATCTGGAACCTTCTGCCTCCTGGACTTCCTGTGGTGTTTTATCATGTATCTTAGCTCAAATGTCACCTCTTTAGAGTGCTCTTCCCTGCACAAATTGCCCTGTTTAATGCTCTCCACACCAGGCAGCACAATGGAGCCAGATGGCCTGGGTTTGAATCTCAGTTCTGCTGCTTCCTAGCTGGGTGGCATCAGACAAGTTAATTAACCTCTCTGTGCCAGTTTCCTCAGCTGTAAAATGGGGGCGATGATAATAGCACCTACCTCATAGCGTTGTAGTAAGGATGAAATTATTGAACATCTGTTAACAATGCTTGGCCCACAATAGATGCTTTATAAATATTTGCTGTTATTCATGTAACACTCATCCCATTCTGAAATTATCCTGGTTATTGGTTTGTTTACTTGTTTTTTCCATTTCCCCCAATTAGAATGTCAGCCCCCTGAAGGTGGTGGTTTCATCTGTGTTGTTCACTGCTCCGTCCCCAGTATTCTAGAAGAGTGCCTGGCCCACCCTAATAAACACCGGTTGAATATCCAAATGGATGAATAAACCAGGCTACTAGATTATCCCGCTTGCAGCTCCCCACACATGCCAGGCTCACTCTCATTTCCTGACCGATGTGTTTGCTGTTCCCTCTGCTTAAACCTGTTCCCCAGAGGAACGGAGGGGAACAATGAAGGAAAGACTGACTTGCAGCTGCCCAGGCCCTTACTCCTGCACCAGGCATCCACAAGAGAACAGTGAGTGAGAATTCCAGATGTTCCAGGACTAACAGTCACTTGTTACCACCCCCATGTTCTACAACTGGGGAAACTGAGGCCCAGAGTGGGGAGAGGACTTGGCCAAGGTCACACAGTGAGTTGAGAGCAACATTCTCCTCGGTGGACCCCATATGTCTCACCTGGAGGCTATTTCTCATGTCTATGCTGGATCTGCTTCCCTATGTGGGGTCTGGAGAGAGGTGGCGGGTGGGGGCCTGTGGGCTACTGCCCTTCGTCCTATCCAGCTGAGGAGGCACCGGGCCTAGTGAATGGACATGCTTCTGACTTAGACTGACCTGCGTTGGGCTCCTAGTGCTTCCTCTTATTATCCATGTGGCCTTGGGCAATCTGAGCCTCAGTTTACTCTCCTGGAAGATGAGGAGATGAAAACTTACCCGCCCCCTCCAGGGATGTTGGGAAGATTCCTACTAAAAGTGTTCATGCATTGAGCACTTATTTTCAACTACCCTATGGGGCAGGCATGTACTTTATCCCCATTTTCCAGATAAGGAAACTGAGGCTCAGAGTGGGGAAAAAGTGACTTGTTGAAGATCACACAGCCAGCAAGGAATAGATCAGGGATTTAAATCCAAGCAGGCTGACTTCAGAGCTCACATTCTTTGCCATAATATGCTCCAGCGCTGGACACACAGTAGGCACTCAACAGATGGTAGCTACTGGTACCCCTCTGACCGAGGCCTTAGGAAGATCTCGCTTTCAGAATGGCACCATCTTCTAGGACAGCAGCCCCTCCCTGCAAACCCATCTTTTGTTAATTTTCCTCCCCGCCAATCCGAGCTTAGAGACACAAGGGCTCTCAGCAACCTCTCTCTGATGGATTTTCAGATTATCCCCACCTTGATTAGTTCCAGAGTCTTCTGGCAGAAGCAGGAGTTATTTTAGGGACTTGATGGCTCCCTCTGGCTGCCATTGACCCCCCCTCTACCCCCAGTTGCAAGCACCTCTCCAGTCAACTGCACAGTTCATTAGATGCTCCCTTTCTGCCCCTGCAGCCCTCAGCTCAGACTCAAGCCCCAACCCCTGCTCTCTGCTCCCCTCCTCCCTGCCCCACAGCCGCTTCTGCCTTCCCCTTATTTGCAGGAGTGGGGGATGTCAGCTGTTTCCTAATCCATGGCCCCCGACTGTGCCACAGAGCAGTGACCTTCCCTCCAATTTCAAGATTTTTCCAGACTTGAGCAAAATCTCACACACCATTTGGACGAAAATATTTTTGGCCGGTGTTCCCAACCCCTGTTCCCGTTGGAGTCCAGTCCCTGATGTCATTCCGCCTGGGGTGGGAGAGGCTCGAAAATTCCCAAGGATAAATTTTATGGTATGTATATTTTACCACAATAAAAATTCCCAAGGGGACGCAGGATGCCTCCCCCCTCTGCCACCGTGTTATATCACTGTGTGTGGGGCTGACGTCACAGGGACGGGGCGTGGGTTCTGCTATAGCTGTCTGTTCTCTCTGCTCCTGGCTCTCTCTTCCAGCTCTGCGCTCTGCCAGGGCCGCCCGCAGGCCTTGCTTGCTTTTCAAAAATAACTCTTGAGTCTCTCCCTGAGGTGGGGGGGCTGCTTCCTTGGTGTCCCAGGCTGTGTGTTAATCCTTCCCATGCAAGACTTCCTGAAGCTGAGTCTGTCCCGGGCTAGGGGGCTGGTCATCAGTTGTCAGGCTGAAGTAGATCAGATGCTGACATCCCGTTC